GTGCACAAGGGTATATTAATTTTGTTCACATAACGGTTGTTTGTAACAGCCAAAACGAATCGAGATAGATATAGACAAATGTATACATAAATGATCAGGATGAAAAAAGAAATCGATTAAGCCATGTCTGTCTGTCCGTCCGTCTGTCCGTCTGTCCGTGTACACGATAACTCGAGCAAAAATTGAGATATCTCAACGAAATTTGGTATGTAGGTTTCCCTTAATCCAAGGTAGGTTGGTATTGAAAATGGGCGAAATCGGACTTTAACCACGCCCACTTCCCATATAACGGTAAATTCCAGAAATACGAAAACTGCGATATTTTAGTAACTACTGAAGATAATTCACTCAAAATTGATATTTGCAATAATTTTTCGACGAAAAATTAGAATATTATAAATTTTTGGAAAATGGGCGTAGCCACGCCCACTTATGGTTACATGTGTATATCTTGGTAACCGCTGCACCAATTTCTTCCAAACTTGGCACAGTTGTTGGCCCTGCTACAACATACCAAATGGCCGAAAATTTTTAAAATCGGACAATAACCACGCCCACATCCCATATAACGGTAATTTAGAGAAATACAAAATCTTCGATAAATCATTAAATATTAAAGCTAATTTATTCAAAATTGATGCTTGCAACAATTCTTTACCAAGAAATACGTTTATGGTAAAATTTTGGAAAATGGGCGTGGCACCGCCCACTTATGATCAAATATAAGTATATCGGTAACCGTTCTACCAAACTCGGTATGGTTATTGTATTTGCCACGTGTAAGCAAAATGTTGAGGATTATTGAAATCGGACTAAAATAACGGCCGATTCTCATATAACGGTAAATTTAAGAAATGCTTGAAACTTCAATATTTCGAAATTGAAGGACGCTAATTTACTCAAAATTGATACACTTCGGCTTACCATCTAGCGGAAGGTTTCGGAAGGGTGAAAAAACATATATTTATTACTTGCGCCGGGTATTTAATGTTCGGCTCCGCCCGAACTTAGACTTTCTTACTTGTTACTCTTATGTTTATCATTTTCTTCTTCTACATGTTACGTTTGTGACAAACACGGTCAACTGCAACTACAGCTAGCACTTTGATTTGATATATAACTGTATTCTGTAGTTACTCCAGATATACAAGGTTTAAATATATATCGTCGTTTAAAGTACAAAACCGCGTATCGTCATTCTGCAACACCGCTTAACTGACATTTGCTGCCAAAAATTGGATTTGCTCACACAAGCTCATGGCTCAATCCTTATCCATACGTCTTGAAATATACTAGCCAAAAATGCGATTTCTTTATAAAAGAGAGAACCTTTTTATGAAATATGAGTGTTTTTAGTCTCAAGCAAATAATTTATGCAACCTCACATACGCGGTTTTGTACTTTAAATAAACGACGACATTATCTATATATAGCCCAGTAAGAACCCTATCTTACGCTTAGTACTACAACAAGTTTATGTGAGAAATTCAACAACTTTCCATCATTTTACTTGGGGCTCGTGGAGAAATCTAACGAATAATCGTTTCACGTGTGAGCAGTTTTCTCTTTCTTTCACATGGAATTCGCTATTATATTATTATATGTGCATATATGAAGTTGTCTCTTTTCAATCAAATACTATTTTGCGATTAATAAAGTGTTATATAACACAAAGAATGGCATATGGATATCGCAAATGTGCAAATGTGTATTGGAGAATGCGTTAGGTCGGGCTTGCTTAGAGATCTGGGATAATATACTAGTATGTGAATATGTATGTGCGTATGTATATGAAGGCAATAGCGATCGAATAGGAACGACCAGACACAGGCATTATAAACGACAGTTGAAAAATCTCCTTCCATTGAGACGTACATATGTATGTATCTGCGCTGAACAACAATATATAAACAAAGAAAAATTTACAATATTTAAAACTACATTTGACAGTTTTTGTGAAGCATTAGTTATTTATTTCGGAAGTTGATGGCTGCTTATCAAAAAATCGTTATGCAGTGAACTGTGGTGAAACATTTAAAAGAACCAGCATTTTAAAAGAGACCATACTTTGAAAACACAACCCAAAATTGTTGGTTGCCGCATCAGACAAAAAACACAAGCGACTTTGCGGTGTTAAACGAAGAGGTGAAAAACAAAGAAAAATATCGGGGTCAAAACCGACTTGAAACCATGATACAATAATTTTTAGAAAGTAGTTTCACTTCAAAATTTTTGATATAGACCGTGTTTGTGACACACACACGCAATGTGGCCACTGCTACGATATTCAACTGGGGGATTTTCGCTGATTATTTCAGATAGGGTGCATTCCAAAACACCAATAGAAGTAGATTGTAACGCCAAATGTGTGCAACCAAAGTTAGATGCTAGTTTTCAAATAAGTTGCGCAAGTTAGACTTTTTCTTCTAGTGCGGTTTAGAAGTAAAAGGTATTTTAGCGCTTTGGAATGCAGCCATATTTTTTAACAGAACATGTAAATAATTACATATCTTATAACTGATCACTTAATTTTTAATATATCGAGTCCTATTTATATATATTTTTATTTGAGTTTAGATGGACAACAGAATTATTAAAAGCTGGCTTTTGCATAGGACTGTTAATTTTTTCATATCTTAATATGTATTTAAAAGTACGCTTACGATACTTTTCGTGAGCTGAGAGGCAATTTAACAAGGTGCTTACTTTTTATCTTCCACATACACATTTAAATCTAATAAACCTATGAGAAAGCAAGAGCTTCAAAAAATATGCGGCAAGAGGAGCTTCGCTGGACTTAGGGATTGCAGCCACGGTTGCTACTTGTTAAAAAAAAAGTAACCAACCAAAATTTCAGAAAAAAATAACCAAATTGAAAAAACCATATTTTTCTTTTTCACGTATCTATTACAAAAAGCAAAACTTAAGGCAGTGTCACACGATTGGGCATTCGCCCAAAATTGGTGAAAATCATATCCCAATCGTGTGAATCCACAAATTGTTTTCCTTATCCCAATCACGAAAAACAATTTGTTAAAATTTTTCAATAGAAGTTCCCTTTTATTGTACCAATCGTGTGACTACATAAAAATAGTCGTCCCGTTTTTTTTTTATTTTGTACCGACAGGCCAATATAAAAATTTTGTACGAATCGTGTGACACTGCCTTTATTAAAAAAAAATTATTGAAATCCTTGTGCGTTCAATCACATATTTACTTTTTATATGCAAATTGTTACAAATCGTTACAAGTACTTGCAAATTTTTACACTCAGGAATTTGCAAGAGTCAAAAAGTAAGGTTATGTTGCAAAATAAAATATAAACACAGTGTTTAAGAGGATGCTTCTATGAAACATAAGTTGCGTTCCCCAACTCGCAAAAAGTTGCAAGAATTTACAGAAATTTACCAGAAAGCGTTCCCGTACTCGATTCACTGGTAAAGTGGGGGAAAAATGGGAGAGTAAAATCGATCCTCTCTTTGTCAGAAGTTGCAAGATTTTACCCGAAGAATGTTTGCTGGTAAAATCTGGTAAGGTGTCAAACCATCAGCTGTTCAAACGATTTGAAAGTTGAATAAGCAAAAAGAAGTTTATCTGCAATTTCACTTTCTTAAATATATCGCAGCGAAGAAATATCAAGTTTTTTAAGTATTTTTGTTAATTTTCTTGCACATTTGCATATAATTTAGCAGATCGGCAAATGATCTAAAACTGCTATGTAAACAAAAAATGGCGCCTACGGTGTATTTGACAGTTTTACCAGTTTTTAACCGAAAAGCGTTTCCGAACTTTTTGGGTTTTCTCTCTTTCTCTGAGAGAAGTTTTACATTTTACATTTTTATGATGATGGGAACTATTCCCAACTAAAAATAAAATTGCGCGCTAACACTTAACCGTCAGAAAGTGTCAAAATGGCGTAAGTTGCAAGTTTTTACTAGGTTTGCGTTCAATAACTTTTTCTGATAATTTTCTCTTGCTCTCAATTTTACTCTCTATACTCTACTCTCTAAAATGATTACTCAACACTACAACTTGGCCAGAAGCGAAAATATATTAGGGGTCTTCACTTAAACTCGTAAAAGCCTCGTAAACCTCGTAAATTTACGAGCCTCGTAAAAGAACTGTCAAAATTTGTATGGAGCTCTATTTACGAGCCTCTCTTAAATTTAAGAGGCAAATTTGATGCTTGAACGATCAGTGTTGCCGAAGGGCCGAAATTTCATACCAAACTGTATGATAAAATAATGAAAATAAACGAAAAAATTTAAGCGAATAGAATGAATTAATTTCATCCACTTACTGTATTGACTTAGGTTTTCTGATAATTTTCGGAATTTTTAATTGTATTTTAGACAAGAGTGATAGAGACAAGATGGCGGGATGTTATTGAAAATACTACGAAACAAAAATTTCTTCGCAAAATCCTGGTTGATCTGTCAAACAGTCACTTTACGTACCGATTTACACCTTTTCGCAAAGCGGGCGTTCCCATAAAAGCCTCGTAAACTTACGAGTTTTACACAGTTTAAGACTTTACGAGTTTAAGGGAATCCCCCGAAATTTTTTTGTATTTCCCTTTTTAGCTGATTGTCACTTTGCCGGCATCAAAAAATTCCTGAACAAAAGTATATTACGTTGGCCAAGTTACGTTACGAAAATTAAGTCTAGACTGGTTGAGCCTTTAGGAAGAAAATTATTTAAAATTTGTTGAAAATTTCTATACTAATACATATACTTGGCTTTGCTTTGTTTTAATTTTACAACGTCAAAAGCTGCATTTTTTTCTTAAATTGGCACCACAAAAAATGCGAAACACGATTTCTGTCAGATAGCTAACATGGCGGATAAGAAGAAAAAGTGAAACTACCCTTTAAAAGTCATTGTACAATACAAATTGTGTTTTTCCATTTGTATTAGAATTGAAGTGATTCGTTTAGTTTGATGCTAAAAACTACAAACAAAAAAACAAAACAAGTTCGAATCTATATTTTACCAATTTGCAGTGTAAATCACTGTAAAAACGAAAATAATGAAGTCCTTTATTTCGATGGCTCTCTTTGCGGGTATAATTGCCCTAACCAAGGCTGAAGATTATGCTTGCCACGATAATGTGACTTTCGGCTGCAGCACCGGTAGTGAGTACCTACATACTTCCATATGTACATATGTACACATGGACGTAAATAAAAAACAATACCGCAGTATCTTTCAAAATATCTGTATTACAACCTAACCTAATATAAGCTTAAATTAGTGGTGACATAACCATAAGTCCATAACCATATAAATCCGCTGTTCCAACCAACACGCCATAGCCATAACCAGGGCCGTCGAGAGTGAACCCGGGCCCGGAACTAAAAAATCACGGGCCCCTATATACAAAGTGTATAAAATTAAAAGCATATGGCCCAAAGCGCCGAAAATGAAACCGAGGGAAAACTTTTTTTTTTTCTAAGGATTCGCAGATTTTTTATTATATCTGGGTCATACATATTCTAAGGTATCAAACAATATACATATTTACACAAATCTCCTTCTCTCAAACATGAAAATTCACCTAATCATGAGACACCTTTAAATTAGTGAAAATATAAAAAAACCACAACATGAAATTAAGGGCCACCATTTTTGCATTATACTTGCTTCTCTTCGATTGCCCTGTATGACTTTGAAGTTAATAAAAAATTATTCGACAAACTAATCAGTGATTAGCTTTCTTAATGAAAATAAAGTCGGCATCATTTTTTAAGGTAATGTCCAAAATATCAAAAAGTTTTTTTTGGCGCGGAATCCACTAGGCTAAAAAATGGAGAAGTCTGGTTTTCTTTGACAATTTCGGCTTCTTCATAATAAAGCAATTTGATACTCTTCATTATGCATGTGTTTTCGCTGCAAAACTACTTGTAACGTAATAGAATTATTCATAAAAATTATGTAGCTTTACAAAAGGTTTATAAATTGAAAAAAGTCAATTTATAAAGCCTTTTAATTTTAAACCTCCTTCAGTTTTTATGAATAAGGCCATACGTCTTTTTACTAATTAAATTTTCAGGTAAAAATATTTTTTATTTAGTTAAAGATAGGGCTCATTTGAAAGCAACATTGTAAGCTACTCAACGTGCTATTGACCCATAGTTAAAATTTATATTCTTTCTAACTCAAATAGGCTCAGAAAATAAAAATTACGTAGAAAAATAAAAAAACGCGAGAATTATGTTATTTCAAAAAGGAACGAGCCCAAAAGAAGCAAAATAAGAAGCTAAACGAAGAAGAAGATTTTCTGATTAAATAGTAAAAATCTATTAAAATTATTTCAAGTATTTTTCTAGTACTATTATTTTCCTTCAAAATGCACTCTCGAATGGTGCAATAAGATTTTTCCTTAAAACATTTACGGCCATTTAAACTGCCGTGTCCTCGAATCTAACATCGCCACACCAATTTTGAAGGGCTAAAATAGTACTAAATGGCATAGAGCAAGCAAAAGTGGCCATTGAAAATCTCAATATCAATATCAATCAGCACGAATCGGAATATATTTATAATTATTGTTATTCTGATATTTCGGGCCCCTTAAGAAGCCCGGGCCCGGAGGCTCACCCCTTTTCTCCCTCCCTCTCGACGGGCCTGGCCATAACCATAGCTATAGAGACCAATTAAATTTTGGTTTTCCGCCATAACCATAATCAGCTGATATCTGAAGTGCAAGTAACGCACACGCAACACCCTCCACAAAAAAATTCTAAAAAATCAAAGGTAATTTTTAGAGACTTGAAACTTGCACATTGTTTTACTACAATTTAACGGGCTATAAGACTGCATACTCGAAAATTATCTAGATATTCGCTGTCGGAATTCCACTGTAGTATGGCAATAAAAATTAACAGGACAAACAGAACAGCTGCAGCGAGTGCTGCATATTTCAAACAAGCGGATAGCTCTCGCCAACGCCAAACGAACGGAGGATGGCCATAGTTGCATAGTGGCAACCGTGGTTATGGCGTTATGGTATGTCACCACTAATTTAACCTATAAACGCACGCCATAAAATAGGGGTATTCACGAACCGGTGCATACTGTCTAGCATGGTGCATAAATAGCATAAAAAACACGATTGTTGTTGTTTCATGTGCTCAAACAACAACAAAATTAGCCAATCATGCTATTTATGCTATCTATGAAGCATGTTAGACAGTGTGCACCGGATCGTAATACCCCTTATTTTTTTTTTTTTTGTGTCACCCGAGATTGGCTTGTGCGCATTTGCATTTGATTTCACTGAGCGAAACGTCAAATCAAAATCTCATGCAAAACAAAAATCGGAAATTGAGTTAACTTTTTACGCACGCTGCCAATTTCGGTTGGTCGCATGAGAAATCTTTGACAGTAAATTGCCGGCGTGCGTGAATATTAGGTTGGCCTGTTAACTTCCTGTTTGTGTGTATTTTCTCTCCTCTCTCTCTCTCCGCAAACTAGATCCTGTTATTTGCCATTCCCTCTATGCTGGGATTGAGAATGTCGAGTCCAGCATTCAATCCTACATCAACTTGAATATGCACAAGTCTTATCAATACCTTTTGATGTCCACCTTCTACAACTCCTACCAAAAGAATCGTCCTGGCTTCACCAAGCTCTACAAAGAAATGTCGGACCGCTCATTCGACGATGCTATCGAGCTGATTAGGCATGTCACCCGCCGTGGCGGTCAAGTTGACTTCCGTGCTATCAGCCAACACCCCAACTCGGTTGCTAACAGCAAATTGAAATTGGAGGAAGATGAATTGCACTCATTGGGCATCGCTTTGGATGTTGAGAAGACCTTGACCGACGGTGCCACCCATGTGCACTACGAAGCCACCCATGGACGCCCACATGACCCACAAACCGCTCATTTCGTGGAGGAGAAATTCTTGGGCAGACAGGCTGAGTCCATCCGCAAGGTTTCCGGCTATGTCAACGATTTGTCGAAGATCATGAACAATCCCGACCCCTCATTGGGTGTCTACCTGTTCGACCAGTACTTGGAAAAGCAGTAAGCGCCAGCATCGCAGAGTAAAGCACGTAGCGATTCGGATGTTTTGAATTGCTGTTGATTTGAAGTTCGTGCGGGAGACCGACATATATCCTTCGACTATGAAACTATACGTATTTCTTTAACTGCAAACAACCGATACGGAAACATTGTAATTAAATTTTATATAAAAACATGCAGATTCCAGTTGAGCGCATTTACATTAGTACATACATATGTGCATATGTATATTATTTATGGCAGTAAATTCCAACAAAACTCTGCTTTGACACAAACAAAGGCGCATCTTCAAAACAGTTCATTTATTTAGTATTAGAACCGAGTGCTATCAAATTTTTAAAAATTAAAAATTACATATATTAAACGAAACTTAAAAATATATAAAATCTCCTTTCTTGTGTATTTGATATTTAATTGTGATACTCGGTACTCGAAGCTCTTTAAAAATAAATTCATAAATATGCGAGCGACGAACAAAATACTGCGCTGTCTTCATTAAACATCATTTTTCACTGAGTTTCTTTCATATATGAATGTGGATATCGTGCGACCATACCTGCAAACCATTCTTTCAGAGTTTTCTGAATTGTTGAGAAATTTTAAAGAATTCGTAAAGAACTCATCCGATTTTACGAAATTTCGAAAGAAAATCGGTAAAACAATGAAAATATTTCTACTACACATGTGAAGAATTTCTTGCAGAATTTTTTCAGAATTTTCTTTATTTTTTGAACAGAATTTTTTTCACGAGCTGGTGGCAACCACTTCATATAAATTTCTTTGAAGATTCGTAAAAAAATTGTTACAGAAATGAGATATTCCTAAAGATTTCGGGAACTTTGGTTTGCAGGGATGTCAAACCATCGGATGTGAAAATGGGAACTTTTCAGGAGAGCAATAAAACTGTTATAAAAAATATTGTTGTCATT